GATGCCGGGTCCCCCCCACGGACACTGGGGCAGAGTCACCGCCCGGCCCCGCCCCCGGGGCTCGCTCCGGTACCTGGAGGCTGCAGCTCCGCAGCGGGGCGGGCAGAGCCCGGGGCGGCCCCAGGGCGGCTCCAGCGGGAGCAGGGCCCGGGCCGGGCACGGGGGGGTTAATGGGTCTCCCCGGCTCAGACCCTCCGGCTCAGCCCGGCCCCGCAGCGCCAGGGAGCAGCAGCGGCATACGGCACTCCTCCTTCTCCATCTGCGCATGCCCAGAGCCGGGAGACACAAAACTCTTCTCCGGCCGCAGGAGAGCTGTAGCGCCCCGCGCGCTGCCCAACGTCACTTCCGCTCCCGGGAGTGTCAGGAACTACATTTCCCAGCCTGCTTCTTCAGCGCAGGTAAAGGAAGGTTTCAGCAACGTTTACTGCGCATGCTCAGTGCGAGCCGTGCTTGTTTCTCCCCCCCTCCGTTACTTCTGCTGCCTCCGTGTGATCCGGGGCCCGGGCTGAGCAGGTGCTGCTACTCGGGGTCTGTGCGGGGGGAGCCCGGCATTAACCCCTCCGTGCCCGGCCGGGGGGGGCTTTCTCCAGCTGGGACGCGCCCCCTGGGCAGCCCCGGGCAGGAGCCCCCCGGTGAGTGAGAGACCCCGGGTGGGGGGCGCTGGGGCCGGGCAGGAAAGTGACTCTCTGCCCCGGGGAACCTGGGAGAAGCCTCGGAGCTGCCTCAGCCCCAGCGGAGCTGCAGCAGGATCTGCCCCCGGCACCGCTGGGATTGGGGGGGGGGGCAGAGACTGGGGCCAGGCGGGGGGTCCCCGGTGGGGTGTCGGGCAGGGGGGGAGAAGCCGGAGTTGCGGGGCCGGGGAAGGTCAGTGGGACGCGGGGGGGTTGAGCTGTCTCTGTGCAGCCAGGAAATCGCCGGGGGAGAAGTGGCGGGCGGGGCGTTAATTGATTGGATCCTGTCCCTGTTTGTGCCACTTGCCTCTCACCCACTGATACAAATTCTCTCTAGTTCTGCCCCTTTCCTCTCTCAGCATCTCACACGTGGCTATAAAATCCGGGGAGATTCCCCCCTTTCCCCTCAACTGATCAGTTCTCTCCTCTCCCCCGATTGCCCCCTGGTCTCTCCATGAGTCTCAAATGTCAATTTAAAATCTCCTCCAATGAGGGTGATTTTCCCACCCATTTTCTCTGCAGCGATTTGTCCTTGTTAAGGTGGGAAATTGTTGCCGTGAGTCATTCCCCGAAACATGGCTGCCCCTGGAGTGGGGATGGGATGAGATGAAATGCTCGTTCTCTGCCAGGGTCGGGAAGGGAGGAGCAAGTGTCCCTCATGGAGACTGCCCAGACCCCGGTTTCCCAATCCCACTTGCTGCCCCCTAACTACCAACACAGTTGCCCCCAGCCATCAGTTGCCAGTCACCTGCCCATCCCCCACTGATACCCTCTTCCCTCATCCAGGGACCTTCCAGCTCCCCCTCCCTTGCCCTCTTAAAGCAGCTCCTCAAAGGGCTCCCTGCTGCCCATGTAAATGGTGGCAGAGGGGGGAGCCATCACTTTGTGTTTATGTATTCGATGGTCATATAAAATCCAGTCAAACAGTCCCCTTTTCCCTTTAGTTATTTAATAGCAATATAAAATCCTCTCAGATCTCGGTGTTTTTCTCTCATGTTATCAATTGCTTAGCTTGTGACACGTATTCTCTGCAAATCTCAAAGATTTTTATGAAATACCCTAAACATTTCCCCCACTTTCTCTCTACTTGTCTATTTCTAAGTGAATATGCCCTGAGTTTTTCCTTGTCTCTCTAACTATAAAATACTAAAAAAAAAAAAAAAAAAAAAAAAATCAGATTTACACCTTTTCTCAGATTCTTTAATATGGATATAGAATGTTTGCAAATGTTGCCCATTTCTGCTCTGTTCATTTATCAAATATTGATGTGAAATACACTCAGATTTTACCTCATATCAACAACTGATAAAAAATCACTCTGATTTTCCACTTTCCTCTCTATAATTTGCAAAAATGGATCCAAAATCTCTCAGATTTCCACCCTTTCTCTTTCATTTCTGAATATTGATCTCAAATCTCAGGTTTTTCCTCTTTCTATGTCATTATCAAATGTCAATTAAAAATCCTCTGAGTTTTGGGCTGTTCCCCATGTCTCTAAATCCCAGCAACTTCTCCTTCCTTGGAGGGAACATGTTGCTCTGAGTCATTCTCCATCCTGGTTGTTGCAGAGGCTTAAATTGCCCAGTGACCATCTTTCCCCTCTCCTTTGAGAATCATTTCTTCCCTCCTTTATCTCTGTTGAAATCTTTGCCGATGAAAGAGACCAGCCACATATTTAATACACATCAAAGCCAGAGGCCTCCCCCTGTTTGGGGATCAGTGGGTCCCAGCTGGTTACAGGAGAGTTGGCTGGACCCTTTTCTTTTCTCCAGCTGGCACAGGATGAGGAGGTCACTCTGAGTGCAGCGTGGGTCCAAAAGTATCCCAAACCCCATGACAAATGGTCTCTGTGAGGGGTTGATTCCTGCAGTGCTAAGATGTAGCCACCTCTGGGGTGGATCCATGGTGGCCATTATTTCCTAGTGACCGGTCTTGGACATTTCTTACCTTTTTTGGCTCTCCATGCCTTCCATTCTCCTGTTCAAGAGGCACCCCCCCAGGACTCCCTCTGTCTTTGTGACTGGCCAGCAGGGGGCAGTGATAACTTTCTATCCACTTATCAGACACTGTGAGGTAAAATTGTTGCTGGGGGCAAGGGGTGTCTGTGTGGGAAGATTGCAGCTGGAGATGAAGGTGCATTGTGGTAGGGGGAGGTGTTTGGGTGACTGGGCAGGGGGTACCCTAATCAGGTTGGTGGGTTCTGGGGGTTTGGGGTTTTGGGGGCGGTGGTTCTGATGTGCCCAGCCCTGAGGCTATGGGTCCTGGAGGTGGGTATTGCTGGGGGCCTGGTGGCTGCAGAACAATAGGGGTGAGTGCCTTTTCGGGAGGCGGGGCAGGGGGCTAGAGGGTGCCTGGTGCTGTGCCAGGGGATCTGTCTGGGCTTCCCCTGCTGGCTCCTGTTGGGATTCCCGAAACTAGGTCAGGGGATGCCAAGCAAGCAGAGTGAGGGGTCCCTCTGTAAAGCATAAGGGGGTCCCGCTGGGGGGAGGAGGGGGCTCCAGCCGAATGGCATGGCAGATCCTGCTGGAGGGCAGGCGGGGGTCCAAGCAGGCAGTGGGAGAATCCCAGGCGGGCAGTAAGGTCCCTGTCTGCTGGAGGCTCTTGGTGGGGGGAACCCTTTGAGATTCCCAACCTGGCAGTCATGGTCTGGTGGGGATTCTCTGTCCGGTGGGGCTCTGAGGGGTATCTGTGGGCCCCTGGCTGGGGGGTGTCTGGGGACTGCTACTAACCATGCTCCTTCTCTCTGATCAGCTTGTGCCAGTATCCTGGCTCCAATCACTGCCCGACGTTCCTCGGCTGCGCCCAGTCACCGTGATAACTTTCTATCCACTTATCAAACACTGTGAGGTGAAATCACAGATTTTGTTTTTCTTCTCTCTTGAAAACTGCAGGAACTTCCAGTTCCGTTGGGGAAAATTCGTGCCCTTAGTCCTTGTCCTAGATCTGGGGGAGGGGGGGGCGTGAGGGAGGTGGGAAGGAGGTTAGCACTGCCACACAATGGTCTCTTCCACAGCATTCTGGACTCATTCTTTCTGAAATCTGGTTTCATTGAGACCACAGTTAATCCAGAGTCACTGCATGGAAAGACAAGGAGTGACTCCAGATGAACAGTGGGGCAAATGAGACCAGCAATTCTCCCTGTGAGGAGGGGCTCTCATTAGCTGCTCTCCCCAGAGAGCTAAAGGAGGGAAGCTGCTCAAACGCTCTGTCCCTCTCTGCTCAGGATATTGGGGTTCAGCTTCGTGGGTCAGACGCTGCAGCCCCATTGTGATCTGGGAGACCAGGCTTGGCAGCTGCTGCTCCCACAGTGGGGTTCTGTGCTGGGAAGTGACCTTAATTAAAGCTCCTTCTCTGCCCGGCCCAGGTGATGACTTTCTCCAGCTGGAATTAGCCCCCTAGGGCAGCCCTGGGCCCTGTTAATACTAAATTCTGAGCCAGAGATTCCAGGTAACTGAAAGAAACAAAGGTAAAATGCTGTGGTCTGCCCTTAAAATGACTCTACACAAACAGACCCCCCCCCCTCATTTTTCATCCCATTAGCAATTGCAGGAGCAAATCCAGCCATGGGGGAGCAAACAACCCAGGAATGGGTCTTTCCTACCAGACGGACAGGAGAAGGGAGATAGAAGGAGAAAGAGAGACTGAAAGGGGCTGTGGAAGAGAAGAGTTTCAAGAGAGATTTCCCAATCTCTAATCTGCCCAGACAGATGTATTACTGCACCCTTGGTAGAATCACTTTCCTGTGTACAAGAAAGGATCAGACAGAGGAAAACCCAGTTCCTAACTCCATATCCCTCCTGCTGGGGTGTGGCTGCTGTGGGGTCAGTGTCCGAGGGAATCCCCCACAGTGAATCCTTTGGTTCTGCTTTTTCCTAGCATTGTGTTCAGAGACTTTGTTACGGGATGGCAGAAGGGAGGTTAAAAATGTGTCTGTGGGCTTAGCCTTGCAGGAGGGGCCAGGTCTACACTGTAATAAAGAGATCAAGCCTTTTCTCAGCATGGCAGACTCTAGGGTGTCTGTCTGCAGGGAAAGAGCCTGGGGAATCGTGCTGTGAAATTAACTAAAGCCTGTTCTGATACCTCCACAACTGCCCTTCTCACCCTCCCAGGCTGCAGAATGACGTCCATGTTTCGCTCTAGTTCATCCCGTCCTCCCATGGGATATGGGAGAGAAATGGCTGCAGAGGAACCAGTTCAGGTAGGTATTATCGGGGGGTTGCTGGTGGGTTCCTGCAGGAGGAGAGGGACAGCAAATGCACCGGAGATGAGAAGGTTTGCACAGTCTTTGTTGGAGATTGGAGTGGGGCAGGAAATGCACAGGGTGGAAAAGGGAGGAGGACAGGGTGCGACAAACCTGCTGGGAGTTGTTTAATAAGTGGCCTAGATTCTAGGAACAGACCCATGAAGTTCAGCGGTGGAAATGCCCTAATTTGTGGAACGGAAAATAGCCCAGCTACATGTGGCTAGGAAAACTGACCAGACTCATAGTGCTGGAGCCTGATCTGACTAACCAGTGGCTGCTCTGAGATATGAAGGGGGCACCCACCAGTCAGGCTTAGGGGAGATTCCCCTCCCTTCATGTCCAGCTCCTCACAATGAGGAGGGTGTTGGGCTTCCTACCAGATATCTCTCCCTGGACCCTGCTAGGGGCCCCATCTCCTGTATCAGTCTGTGGCTAGTAGGTGTGTGATGGATCTGCTGGGAGAGAGGAGGAGCTCTCTCTTCATCCCCTCACCCTGGTGTTTCCTGGATGCTCTGAGCAGGGTGGGGGTGGGACTGTGTTGACTGCAATCCACCCAGAGCTTCCCTTTGATTGGCTCCTCTCCCCCACGAATAGTGGGGCTGTGAGTAGTGCAGCAGGTACGGAGTGTTGGACTCTTGCACTTTCAGGGGCCGGTGACCTTCGAGGAGGTGGCTGTGTATTTCACCAGGGAAGAATGGGCTCTGCTGGACCCCACTCAGAGAGCTCTCTACAGGGACGTCATGCAGGAGAACTATGAGACTGTGACCTCACTGGGTAAGGGTTTCTGTCCCCTCGGTTCTTGGAAGGGGAAAAGAAGAGATAGGGTTTATGCCAGCCCCTCAATGCCACCTCTACTCTGTCCTGTTTCAACATCACCCCAATATGCCAGTGACACACACACTACCAGAGACCCTCCCCTGCTGCAGAACACTTTGGGAACAGAGCACAGGAGCAGTATCGCACAGTGTCAAATATCTCCTGTTTGGTCAAGTAAAACTGGGGGTTAGGTGCAGCATAACCAACAGAAGCTTCCTACCCCTGGCCTTATCTCAAACCCTGAGCCTTCTCCACCCAAACCAGAATGTGCTTGGGGTGTAACAAGTAGGCTGCTGAAGTCAGAGCTGCTGGTCCAGGGTTACTTATCACACAGACACTCAGTGCATCCTTGAATGCTGGCTGTGGGTATCCAGAGAAGGAAGCCTTAGTGGGGCCCTGTGCTCAGCTTCATTTTTTGGGCTCCTCCTTAGGTCCCAGCCAAGAAGAACAACGTTCTCTCTTATCCCCCCACCCCCATTTTTCATTCTTTTTTTCTTCATCCTCCTCTGATAAGCAATAGGAAGTACATGAAAATAAAGTGAGGTGCCTTGGTTGTTTTTGTAGTCTAACAGAGTTTTCCACAGACCACGTGAAAATCGCTGAGGGTCTCAGCGGACCACTTAATGATTTTTCTAAATATTGTTTGTACCATTAGCTAACTATTGTAAAGTGCTTTGGATAAGAGCCCTTTATAAAAAATTTTTTAAAAACGTTGTGGTGCGGGGTCTGGCCAGGATTTAGGGTGTGGGAGGGGGTACAGGGTCTGGGAGGAAGTTAGGGTGCAGGAGCAGGCAGGGGGTTGGAGTGTTGGGTCTGGCCAGGAGTTAGGGTGTGGGAGGGGGCTCAGGGTTGGGGTGTGACGATACGGTTCTGGCGGGACCCAACTGAGAGTGCCAACTCAGGACAAATTGCTTAAACAGGGCAGTTACAGCCCAAGCCTGGGGCTTTTCCACCTCTAAGGCAAACCAAACCAGCCAGACTAAGAGGACTTCGGTCTCACCCCACTGGCTAACCACAAGTCTTACAAGCAATTTCCTTAGACACTCCAGTTTCCCAGTATCACCACCAGTGCCACTCGTTATGGGGACAAATGGTTATGAAAACCAATACCCCAATAAAAGAAAAAAGGTTCTCCTGATCCCAAAGGACCAAGCCCCAGACC